AAATTTATAAAGCATTTAATGTTTGATATGATAAGTATGAATCTAAAATGGGTTTGGTCAATAGTCAGTTAACATAATTTTGGTTTGAAACACATTGCTGTTTGCTGATTTACAATATAAAAACTTAAACCATGTTTGGTTGTAAAAATCAGTGTACATACTCAACCTAGTAGTTTGAAAGACCATAACAAAAACTGAAATATTAATTCGGAGGGAAACATGATGTAAGTGTCATATTACTCAAGAACTGTCACTCAAATTATTCACAGCAAAAATGGCAAGCATCTCATTACATGAAAGAAAAAAACAGGGCAAAACTGCTGGACCTGAATCTTGTGCACTTTTGTTTCTGCATGCACGTTCAGTTCTGTGCACAGAGAATTTGTTTTGTCCACTGAGGCCATTTTTGAGAGGTTTATAAAGGCTTTTAAAAAAAAGTAATAATTAGCTCTGACTCGTTCTTCTAAAAACCAGGTTTTTCATGCGGAGGGGCTTGTGGCATTAGTGATATGTTTAATAATTCAGGTTTAGTCAAAGATGTTTTGTGCAGACTGCTACAGCTCTGCCACCTGCCACGCTTGCTGTATCTGAGTCATTATGAGCCGAATCGCTCACTGCTCACTGCTGCTTCAGTTTGGCCAGGTGACAAAATCATTATCACTTCAATGCACTTTGCATACTACAAGCAGCATGAAACAAAAGAGCAAGATGAAGAGAATTAAGATGTGCCGTTAATTTCACACTTCACAAGATTTTAACATAGTAAATGAAATCTTTTAAAACTGAAATGACCTTTGATCGGATCCAAATACACACATGCAAACATAGCCTATACTGTATATTTGATTGTAACATTATTTTCACAACAATCACTTAAATTCTAATATGGATGATAGTATAATATAATATACAAATTCTGATAAGAATGTTTTATTTGAGAGTTATAGGTTTGTAATTACTCATCTAAAGAAATTACTTCAATATGATCATTTAAAAATACAAAAAAAAATCATTTAAAATCGTTATAAATTAAAGGCTTTACAACAAACATGACCATCATACTTTACCATTTCAATAAGCATTTTAAACATTTATTAAAATGTTATTTTTTTACATTACATTAGCAAGATTTTGAATAGAATAGAATAGAATAGAAGTAAGTTCTAATAAGTGTTTTATTTCAGAATGTTTTAGATTGTAATTACTGTAAAGACATTACTTTAATATGATGACTTTTTAAAAACAATATCTGTATAAATTAAAGGCTGTACATCAGTACCATCATGTACATATACTTCTGAATAAGTATTGTTTAATTATTATTAAAATACTGTTGTTGTTTTCTTTTGTTTTACATTTTTGCCAAATAAATACTTTGTACACAATATAAATTATGTAAATTTTGTACACTCTAATAAGGATGTTTTATTTGAGAGTTTTATAGCTTCAATAGAAATTACTTTCATATGATGATTTATTAATAAATCAGTATAAATTAAAGGCATATACTACTACTACCATGTATAAATACTTATAGTCTATCTAAACTTAGAAGTATTGTTTATTTATTATTAAAATATTATTTACATTACAGTTACAAGACTGTGAAATATAATAATATAATATAATATAATAATCATTTTTTTGATTTTAGGCTAAATTATGATTTGGACTGGACTTGATTTTAGTCTGAATGATGTTCTGGTCAGGTTTCATAAGATTATTGATAGAACCATGATAAACTTTTCATAAATCCCAGAGTGATATTGCTAATATATGGGGTGTGTTTGAGTAGGTGCATGTCTGTGAGCTGGATGAGCTCTGCTCTGATTTGAAATGCACTGAGGATGATGTTGTGTTAAGCCCAGCTGTTGCTCATACAGACACTGTCAGACGAGGCCTGAGTGTTCCTGAGCAGAGGTGCAGTCTGGGTAACGGAGAGAGCTACGCTTCAGCCTTTAATCTGCTTTAGCTTCTGCCAGCGCGTGGATGTTGACTTTTATTTATTTATTTATATAACTATTGGGCCACAGAGTTTAGGGGTGGAAGAGGAAACGGTTTACCAGGAAACAGTTTAAGGGAAATATTCATAGAAGGACACTAGTGATAAGCCTGATGAAGCATTAAAAGCACCAAGAGGCTATAAAGGACATGAAGAGGAAAGATCACGGAGCATCATAATCATATCCATCACCATCACCATTACATGATATCTTGATGAGGTTATGATTCACTGTGATTTAAGATGATCTTCGATACTCGAATTAGTCTGAGAAGTCATTATTTAAATTACACATGGGTTATGCTTGGATATATTTCTGTCAACTCAGTGACTTTTTCACTTCGACAAACAAAGGGAAGGAGCATGAGATGGAGATCTGCAGCGCCACCGAGGGGTGAATCAAGTCAATTCCCCCATAGGTCTTTTTGAGTAAGCCTATTAGCAAGTGTTACAAGTACAGATTAGAGGCGAAATGTGAATGCTATGTCAAAAGTTTATTTAATTAAAAGTATATATCCAAAAGCATGCTTTGAAAGGTAAAAAACCGAACCAAACAAAACTAAAACGTACATTTGGGACAATATTTGTATATTACTAATAATTCTGGCCGTAAATTGCTTACGTTCCTGCATAAATGTACATTTGCATTTTAAATGCATTTTTTAATTTAAATAATATTTTACAATTAAGCTTTGATAACTGTAAAGCACCCAGTTTTGCACAATTGTCTCAATTTCCAGTCTATAAGTCTTTTTAAACGTATTTATTTGACATTTCAGTGACTGTGATCACGACGCATGTCAGTTAAGTTCAACAGTGTTGCATTTGAAATGGATATATAAAGTGTAATTTGGCTTGTTTACTTTGTAACTGAAACTGCTTATGTAATCAAAATTCTAACTTTTTTTATCTTTTAGCCTGCTTGGATTTTGATTCTGACCCATGGATCTGTGATACTGTGTGTGTGTGTGTGTGTGTGTGTGTACCTGGTATTTATCACGTTATGGGGACCAAATGTCCCCACAAGGATAGTAATACTAGTAAATTTTGACCTTGTGGGGACATTTTTGAGGTCCCCATGAGGAAACAAGCTTATAAATCATAGAGAATCTATCTATATCTATCTATATCTATCTATATCTATCTATATCTATCTATATCTATCTATATCTATCTATATCTATCTATATCTACACACACACATTTATGTATATGGATTTAAAAAAAAGGTCAAATATATATACTGGAATTCAAATTAGGTCAGAATAATTCAAACAAAAGCACCAAGAGGCTATAAAGGACATGAAGAGGAAAGATCACGGAGCATCATAATCATACCCATCACCATCACCATTACATGATATCTTGATGAGGTTATGATTCACTGTGATTTAAGATGATCTTCGATACTCGAATGAGTCTGAGAAGTCATTATTTAAATTACACATGGGTTATGCTTGGATATATTTCTGTCAACTCAGTGACTTTTTCACTTCGACAAACAAAGGGAAGGAGCATGAGATGGAGATCTGCAGCGCCACCGAGGGGTGAATCAAGTCAATTCCCCCATAGGTCTTTTTGAGTAAGCCTATTAGCAAGTGTTACAAGTACAGATTAGAGGCGAAATGTGAATGCTATGTCAAAAGTTTATTTAATTAAAAGTATATATCCAAAAGCATGCTTTGAAAGGTAAAAAACCGAACCAAACAAAACTAAAACGTACATTTGGGACAATATTTGTATATTACTAATAATTCTGGCCGTAAATTGCTTACGTTCCTGCATAAATGTACATTTGCATTTTAAATGCATTTTTTAATTTAAATAATATTTTACAATTAAGCTTTGATAACTGTAAAGCACCCAGTTTTGCACAATTGTCTCAATTTCCAGTCTATAAGTCTTTTTAAACGTATTTATTTGACATTTCAGTGACTGTGATCACGACGCATGTCAGTTAAGTTCAACAGTGTTGCATTTGAAATGGATATATAAAGTGTAATTTGGCTTGTTTACTTTGTAACTGAAACTGCTTAAAATTCTAAAATTCTAACTTTTTTTATCTTTTAGCCTGCTTGGATTTTGATTCTGACCCATGGATCTGTGATACTGTGTGTGTGTGTGTGTGTGTGTGTGTACCTGGTATTTATCACGTTATGGGGACCAAATGTCCCCACAAGGATAGTAATACTAGTAAATTTTGACCTTGTGGGGACATTTTTGAGGTCCCCATGAGGAAACAAGCTTATAAATCATAGAGAATGAGTTTTTTTGAGAAAGTAAAAATGCAGAAAGTTTCCTGTAAGGGGTAGGGTTGGTGTAGGGCAATAGCACATACAGTTTGTACAGTATAAAAACCATTACGCCTATGGAATGTCCCCATAAAACATGGAAACACAACATGTGTGTGTGTGTGTGTGTGTGTATATATATATATATATCTATATACACACACACATTTATGTATATGGATTTCAAAAAAAGGTCAAATATATATACTGGAATTCAAATTAGGTCAGAATAATTCAAACAATATTATATTGCTGCTCATTTTGACCAATTTGGTCCCGAGAAAAGCAATGCTGAAATAATAACTAGCCTTTTACTAATTGTTAACCAATTTATTACAGAATTTCATATAGTTGAAAATGTCACCTTGTCTTAAATTACAAAGAAAGTAACATATATGAAGTGTTGAATCCACGTTACAACACATTATATTAATTTGGTCCTCTGCACATTTGTCCCCTTTGAGGCCCTTCTCTTTAAAAAAAAATAAAAATCGTAGAATTGCCACTGAGACAGGAAGTGAGCAGAGGGCACCGGAAACCTCCCTGGAGGTTTTTTTTATTTTTATTATGCTTCCATTTACAACAAACAAACTAGGTAAAACCTCCCTGGAGGTCCTTATTAAATTAGGAGGCTCCCTGGGCGCTGCAGCGCTCCGGATCCGCCGGCAGGGGTCAGCGGCGAGGCGGCGTGTGTTCAGGCCTGTCACTCATCAGACAGCAGAAGCAGCAGAAATGATCGCACTGGACCCCGGAAGTGTGTGTGACCCTCATCATCATTTCTCACCTATGAAACCCTTTAAACAGCTTGAGAAATGAAATTATCTATTTCTATCTGCCCATCGCTCATCTGAGAATCACAACTGGGGGATAAAATCTGATTTCGGAGGCGGTAAGCGAAAGAAAAAGCTCAGCATTACGATAAAGAAAGTGAATCGTGATGATGTGTGTATGGCTGCGGTTTATCAGCCGATTTAAATGTGTTTTACTGCTTTATAATGAGACTGTCCGAATAATTAAAGAGTTTATTGCCAATATATTAGTTATAATTAAGGCAGGTTGAAAATATTAGAACCAAACGATGAATTAGATGAAGGGTGTGACGGGAGATTAATCTTAAAGAGAAATCAACAAATATATAGGTGTGTTGTTATGATGGTTGCTATGGAGGTTTGCAAAATAACAACAAGTAATCGCAGTATACACGCTAATTTTGTGCCTGTTATTATTTTTAGCTCCCCTGAAATATCGCAAACCAAAACACATTTCCTCGTAACAGGCCAGTGTGACTTTCAGTTGCGTGTGTGTGAATGAGAGAGTTTTTGTTTGTGTATTGTGACGTTTATTACTGTTTTGGGCTTTCAAACACGAATCTTTTGATATCAGGGCAGATTTTTTAATTTAGTTAGTCATGTCTGACTGAGGGAAACTTTGGTTTTTAGCAGTTTGAAATCAACCTGATCTGTCAAAGAGGTGGTCATTGAAACTGAGGTTTATTTATCAGATGATAGGCTCTTAAATAAGCATAATCAGCTTTACTTAGGAAGGACTTAAAAGGAGAGTTTACCTGAAAATGAATATTATGTCATGATTTACACACCCTTATATTACTTTGTCCTTGGAACACAAAAGCTGGGATGAATCAGTGTCAAGATTTTTTCAGTCAATAACAAGTTCGTTCTTATATAAACCTTAATTGCCCGTTTACTCAACCATTGGTGTTGTCTATATTCATTTAACACCGAAGGATTCAGTATAAGCGCAACATACAGGTACATCTAAAATAAATTTGAATATCATCAAAAAGGTCAATATTTTTTGTCACTCATTTCAGAAAGTGAAACCCATATATTATATAGATTCATTACACATAGAGTGAAATATCTCAAGCCTTTATTTCTTGAAATTTTGATGTTTATGGCTTACAGATAATGAAAACCCAAAATTCAGTGTCTCAGAAAATTAGAATATTGTGAAAAAGTTCAATATTGGAAAGTCATGGTGTCACACCCTAATCAGCTAATTACCTCAAAACACCTGCAAAGGTTTCCTGAGCCTTTAAATGGTCTCTCAGTCTGGGTCAGTAGGCTACACAATCATGGGGAAGACTGCTGACTGGACAGATGTCCAGAAGACAGTCATTGACACCCTCCGCAAGGAGGGTAAGCCACAAAAGTTAATTGCTAAAGAAGCTGGTTGTTCACAGAGTGCTGTATCCAAGCATATTCATAGAAAGTTGAGTGGTAGGAAAAGGTGCACCAGGAAGATTTTGGGGGAGCTTCACAAGGAGTGGACTGAGGCTGGCGTCAGCGCATCAAGAGCCACTACGCATGGACGAATCCTACATGGGCTACAAATGTCGCATTCCTCGTGTCAAGCCACTCCTGAACCAGAGACAACGTCAGGAGCGTCTTACCTGGGCTGTGGAGAAAAAGAACTGGACTGTTGCTCAGTGGTCCAAAGTCCTCTTTTCAGATGAAAGTAAATTTTGCATTTCATTTGGAAATCAAGGTCCCAGAGTCTGGAGGAAGAGTGGAGAGGCACAGAAACCATGTTGCTTGAAGTCCAGTGTGAAGTTTCCACAGTCAGTGATGATTTGGGCTGCCATGTCATCTGCTGGTGTTGGTCCACTGTGTTTTCTGAAGTCCACAGTCAACGCAGCCATCTACCAGGAAATGTTAGAGCACTTCATGCTTCCTTCTGCTGACAAGCTTTATGGAGATGCTGATTTCATTTTCCAGCAGGACTTGGCACCTGCCCACACTGCCAAAGGTACCAAAAGCTGGGTCAATGACCATGTTTTCTTATGTAATATTCTAATTTTCTGAGACACTGAATTTTGGGTTTTCATTATCTGTAAGCCATAATTATAAAAATTTCAAGAAATAAAGGCTTGAAATATTTCACTCTGTGTAATGAATCTATATAATATATGGGTTTCACTTTCTGAAATGAGTGACAAAAAATATTTACCTTTTTCATGATATTCAAATTTTTTTTAGATGTACCTGTATATTTCATGACCCGTGGTTAAATTCAGTATTTTTCAAATTGTAAGTGTGAGACATTGCGTAACCTAGTGTTAAAAGTCACTAAACAAAACAAATTGTAATTATGTTTGACTTCACCAAGACAACATTTAAATAAATATAACCATAGAAAGTTATTTGCAAGAAATGTTCAGAATTAGTTAGGGACATTATTAGAAAATATAAATTGACTATTATTCTATTAAACCATGACATGAGCCTGTGTGTTATTTTAGGTTGCAGATTTGACTTTGTAAAATATAGAGCTTGTTTAAATATATATTTTTAAATTATTATTAGAGATGAAGGCTAATTATGTGTAAGGCTGAAAATAAGGCTCTGTCTGCATTGCCCCGCTTATTGACACACTTTCATTTCTTGCTGTAGGTATAATCACTTATCCCATGATTCTCTGTTTCTGTGTGTGTCCTTTACAGGGTCCAGACTGTGGATGCCTTTGAGTTCAAACCCAACAGGGTTCGAGAGGATGTCATTGTGAGGGACGCTCTGTGTGGTGAGTCATTTGCATCGCTTGAACAAACCCCTCACACTAAGTAACAAACTTCAGTTTGTCAGAAAAGCAAATATGTGCAGGTGAGCATCTACTGTAAGGAATCTCACAATATTTTTAAGTCTGTTTTCTGCTTTGGAATGAGTTTACATTGTCTTTTTTGGCACTGACCATTCACATCTTACTTTTAGGCTGTTTGGCGTTTTGTTTTGTAAGCGATTTGCATCTCAAAAGTGTTTTATGTAAATTAGATGCTAAGTTTCAGCCCAAGCTGAAGATGGAAATGTCTTTCTTGTTTCTTTAACTAAAGACACCAGTGAAGTTTCAGTGATACCAGGATAATAAATGGTTACCACAGCATTATAAGAGAGCTTCGTTTTGAAGCTGGCACCCTCCCGAGCCTTTTACACAAAAATATGAGGCTTCTTAGATTTGGACTTTCACTGTATTTGTGTCTGTTTCTAGTGGTTGTATATGGGAATTTAAAATATTTAGGGTTATTATATTATTTAGATAGAAGTGCATGCTCGATTCAAAGTGCACTTCTTTTCAAAAGTCTCTTTTGCTCACCGAGGCTGTTATTATTTGATGAAAAATACAGCAAAATTGTGAAATATAATTACAACAGTTTTGTTATTTTATTTGAATATATTTTAAAATGTAATTTATTCCTGATGCAAAGCTGAATTTTCAGCATCATTACTCCAGTCTTCAGTGTCACATGATCCTTCACAAATCATTGTGATACAAGGTTATTATAGTTAACTTAAACTAAAACCATAAAAAAAACATTTTTGTTGCTTAAAATAAATTTTTAAAAAAATGTTAAATACTTTTTTGCCAGAGCAGTATAAATTGATGTACTGAAACAATTTACTTAAACTTTATCTTAAATTAAATTGAAAAGAAAAGAAAAAGAAAATACAATAATAAATCTAATTCAAAATATTAAATGGGATTGCTCAAGTCAGAGCCCACCTCAAGTCACTGTGCTATTCTGGTCTATATATATATATATATATATATATATATGGCTTTCCTTAAATGGAAGTTGATGGGATTTTTTAACCCATTTTTTAATTTGTCATTAAAATGTAAATTCAATCATTTGAAAAAGTAATAACTCATCTTTCTTTAAGACACAATTTGAGGTTATAATTTTATGTCTGTAGCACCGTCAAACTCTCAAAATGAGCTGAAGTAAATGCGATACTCACCGTAGTAAATAGTGACATTTATGTTTATGCATTTGGCAGATGCTTTTATCAAAAGTGACTTAAATTGCATTGAAGGATATAAATTATATCAGATCATCCATTCCCTGGGAATCAAACCCATTGCCTTGGTGTTGCTACAGTGTAAAGAAAACTTTTTTTTCTTTCTTTTTTTTTTAAAGTTGTAAACTAATATTATTGGAGTATGTTTTACAAGAAAACATTTCAGTTCTTCTACTTAAAAATGATTTTATATGTAACTTGCCATTTGTAATTGTGAGATTTACTAGCAATGACAAAATTGTTTCTACACTATTTTTTTCACTGTAGTGCCATGCACATGTTGTATTGCTTTCCAATGCATCTTTTTTATCTATACAGTAACATTATTAATAAGCATGTGAATCAGTTATGTCTGGCTGGAATGGTGAGCCAATGGGAGTCCTGCTCGTCCTACTCACCCCTCTCTCTCTCTTTGCAGGTGAGAATGCAGTCTTCAGGACACCGGTTGAGGGATGTGGAGCAGCACCAGCCCCTGCTCAGCGGAGGAGAGGAGGAGGTGGCGGCTAGCCGCGTCTGGTTCATCCAGGACAGCTGCGGGATGGTGTGCGCCTTTGTGACCTGGTTTCTGGTTATGTACGCAGAATTCGTGGTAAACTTTGTCATGCTGCTCCCCTCCAAAAGCTTCTGGTACTCTCTCATCAACGGTGTGGCGTTTAACTTCCTGGCTGTGCTGGCGCTGACGTCACACCTGCGAACCATGCTGACGGATCCGGTAAGAGAGGACTGTTATTTTGATTAAATGCGGTAATGAACATTTTATGATGGGTGTTATTGATGTGAGGTGTGCTGTGTTTATCAGGGAGCTGTTCCCAAAGGTAACGCCACTAAAGAATACATGGAGAGTCTGCAGCTGAAGCCAGGAGAGGTCATCTACAAGTGTCCAAAATGCTGCAGCATTAAACCAGAGAGGGCACACCATTGCAGGCATGACCAACATCTGATAAATGACTCCTTATTTGTATCTGTACATGGTCACATTCTACACTTTTGTGGAATTTTTCCTGTCTTAAAATGTCAGGCCAGGTTTCTAGCACCAAAAACAGTCAATTGATGTAAATTTTCCACCCTCTTTTTGACACTTTTTACAGGATTGTTATGATTGGCTGATCTTTTTGCATTTGGAAAGAATAAAACCCTCCCTTTCAAGTTGCTGAATACCACACAGGCATTGATATGTAAACATGGTTTGTCATATTTTAATGTGTTCATGGTTGTGACATCATAAACGGAAGAAGATATTTTTGCAGTTTAGTTTGAATATACGCTATGATTGCAGTTTAAAGTAACTTTTTTTGCTATTTGAATATATTTTAAAATATAATTTATTTCTGTGATGCAAAGCTGAATTTTCAGCATCATTACTCCAGTCTTCAGATGTCGTCACATGATCCTTCAGAAATTATTCTAATATCCTGATTTGCTACTGAAAAAACATTTCCTATTGTTATCAGTGTTAAAAAAAGATAATTTTGTTAGGATTGTTTGATGAATAGAAAGTTCAAAAGAACAGCATTTAATGAAAATAGAAGTCTTTTGAAACATTGTAAATGTCTACTGTCACTTCTGATTAATTGAATGCCTCCTTGATGAATAAAAATATTATTCCATTAAAAAAAATCTAGTAGTGTATTGTTGACTAGGGAGGAAGTAGTTCCAAAAGAGCCAGAAAAATCCTATTTTGCCTTACATATCCCCTTTAAATCAAGTCATTTGTATTTAAAGGCCAAGCATCAGTGACTTCTAGACGTTTCTCGTCTTGCTTTATAACTGGTGTGGTCTTTTCTCCTGTTTTGTTTGTTGTAGTATCTGTAAGAGATGCATCAGGAAGATGGATCACCACTGTCCTTGGGTCAACAACTGTGTGGGCGAGAACAATCAGCGATTCTTTGTCCTCTTCACTGTGAGTGTGTCTGAGACTGCTGTCTCTTCTTTTACAATATTTTCATGGTGGAATTGCTGACCTTCTTTTGCCTTAGTTTTAGAGAAAATATGATTATGAAATGGGTGATTTCGGCTCTATCATCTGTTTGCATGAGCTGTGACCACATAAGGTTTCCATTTATACTCTGTATTGCTTTAATGTCCTTAATCAGTGACCTTTCCTCTGATAAACGTCTCGGGCATCAGTGTACAACAATATTTAGAGGATTTTATCAAAAGCATTTTACATTGAAAGTGTTGAATTTTGAATAATATTTGGCTTTTTTCCTTCTCAGATGTACATAGCCTCCATTTCTTTGCATGCGCTGTGTCTCAGCGGTTTCCACTTCTTCACCTGTATTAAAGTCCAGTGGAATGGTGGGTAATAGACATTTGAGATTGTCGATCCATTACTGGAGGACAGATGATATCATAAGAAGTCAAGTGCAAGACTTCAGTGTGCTGTGTCATTGTAGGCTTATTTTGCTCTGATAAGCCACTTTAAGCTCAAGAAAACACTTTGTCATAATTTTGGCTTAATGTATGTTGTCTATAATATTACAGTTTAGACATTTTATTTTCCTTATATATTTACAATAAATAAATTAATAATAGATTTTATCAAATTAATATTTAAAATGTATACATCTTTTCAAATTGACATCCTTTGTCACCAAGAATCTATATTGTTGTTTTTTTTCTAATTGGCTTTTTATTTATGTGTACAAACAGTATCTACAGTATGTACTTTTTTATTTTTTATGTGTCACTAAGAATGTATTTGATCATTTTTTTATTTTTAATAGTATTTTTTCATTTTCTTTCCACTAGAATAAAATAATTTTTAAAAATCTAGAATAAAAGTTTTTTTTTTTTGTAATCTGTACTGTTCTTTTACTCCTCATACAAAGCACTTGGGAATTTGATGTCCAGCATTGGTTTTGACAGCATCATCTCATCCGTGTTGTTCTCCTCTGTTCTGTAGAGTGTAGTGATTTCTCCCCACCTGTGGCGGTGATGCTGCTGATTTTCCTGTGTCTGGAAGCACTGCTATTTCTCACCTTCACTGCTGTCATGTTCGGCACTCAGATTCACTCCATCTGTAATGATGAGACGGTAAGTTGACTTCCACAAACCTCCAGAATTCCTGGTTACTACTACCATTACTTCTGATGGAACTGAACTTAACAGCCATGTTTGTTTTATTATTTATTAGTGTATTATAATTATAGAAAGAACCACCCTGCAGAATTATTTATATTAAAGGGGTCATATGATGTTGCTAAAAAGAACATTATTTTGTGTAATGAAATGTTTATGCGGTTTAAGGTTAAAAAAACACATTATTTTCCACATACTGTACATTATTGTTTCTCCTCTATGCCCTGCCTTTCTGAAACGCATCGATTTTTACAAAGCTCATTGGTCTGAAAAGCGAGGTGTGCTCTGATTGGCCAGCTATCCAGTGCGTTGTGATTGGCCGAATACCTCAAGCGTGAGACGGAAATGTTACGCCCCTTACCATATTGTGATGCCGTGTCCCGGCCGGAGCGACGAGACAAAAACATTAAAACCCATTATAAACGAGGCATTTGTTGCATCCAGTGGGGACATAATTACGGATTATAATGACTTATATACTGTCTTTTTATGTGTTGCATTGCATCGCGCCGCGTAAACATTAAACCATGTCTGCGTTTGTGATCGGAGAAATGACAAACAACAAGTGCTACTCTACACTGCTCAAAACTCACGTTTGAATCGTCAGTGGCAAATTCTTTAGATATGTGGGGCGTGTTAGAATGAGCCGTTTTAGGTAGGCGTGGTTAACTCTTAACTTTTATAAAGAATATTTCTTTGGATTTGAGACTTTAGTCTTTGCAACTTTACAGATCTTCTTTATGCACCAAGAGCTTGTAACACTCCAAAGAGAAAGGAAAAATTGAAATCGCATCATATGACCCCTTTAATATATTAAATATGTATATATTAAGATATTAGATTTTATATTAAAATATTTAGTTCATTTGTATTGTATTAATCATAAAAATATAAATTACAAATGTTATGTATAATAAAGCAGTAAAAATAAGATCTTTTCATTTTATGCTATATTATTTCAGTTCAAATTCACTGCATTTGAGTTCTGAAACAATGCGCTGACTGTACTAGCCTTAACTCTACATTTCTGGCTTGACCCGCACAGGAAATCGAGCGACTGAAGAACGAGAAGCCCACGTGGGAGCGGCGGGTGCGATGGGAGGGGATGAAGGCTGTTTTCGGCGGGCCGCCCTCTCTGCTCTGGTTCAACCCATTTGCTGGACTCCGTCTTCAGGTTCTGATGGTTCGTGCCCGGAAAAACGGGGCCGAGTTCTCCGTCTGAGTGAAGAATGCTGTCTATAAGGCACAGCCGTCTGCCTTCATGACTATTACCCCCCTCACATAGGACATAGGACTCCTTCCTTTAATGCTAAAGCAGGTTTGGAGGTACTACGGTGAAAACCTGTTAAATAACTGATGTCGCTCCTGGAACAATGAGGCTACGTCTCGATACAGTCTGTCTGTGTCCACACATTAATACCTCGGACGGCAGATCATACTTGTTATGCTCATATTGTCTTCATGAACATTCACACTCCATGGGTTTTTGATTTGCCTTTTTTTTTTTTTTTTTTCCTCTGAAATTTACGGATCATTTGAAGGGTGTTGATATCCGTTATCCAGCCTGAAGTAATTGCATCTAGAGCGGCAAAAATAATGGTTGCGATGGTTGTTTAAAGAAATAGATCATAAACCAAACGGAATGTGTTTTGCCAAAAAACAAATTCTTATGTGAATCTCACAAAAATGCCCAGGTCATCTCAAAATCAAAAGGAATTATATTGTTCTATATTTCTTCACCTATTATATTTACATTGAAAGTAAATATTTAATTTGCATTATTGTAATATAATCTATTATTTAAAATGTTACGTATTTATACATCATGATATTTTTTGTACTGAATATAATTTATGCTCATTTTAATTTTTAATTTCTTTATTATACCAATGACAGTGAGATTTGTTTCACACTACAGTGATAATTTGTTTAGCTGCTTAATGCACACAAATCTTAATTGCAGATAAAATTAGCTTTGTTTTCTTAGTGAAATATAATATTTTTCTTTTCTTTTGATTTTGGAGGAACTGGGCATTTCCTTGTGAGATTCGCTTTCTTAAGTGTTAAGAGGTTGCGGCTGGTTTAGTCACCTTGTCTTTAGCACATACCCTAAACGATAAAGTCATTTTAAAATAGTCTCATCTTCATGTATTGTAGAGATAATAATAGACTCATTCTGAAGTCTTGAAATTAATGCCGATCCCACAAAGAGCTTGAATGGACGGCGTAACTATATATAATTCTCACATTGACCTTAAGCTGCTCTGTGAGATAAATAAAGACATATCACATTATGGCGTACATAATTAAAGTATGTCCTCTGTGCGCACGAGGCCCACGGCTGAGCCAGGAACTCTAATTAACGTGTAGATTACAATTTTAACACGCAGCAGTATATGAGCTGACGTGGACGGGCGCCATCCATGTGGTGAGACTTTTAGCGAGCTCGTCAGTTTGCTGCACAATTCACCGAGGCTGACTATCACTTTGTGTTTTATACAGTTTCTCGTTGCATCGTGTTTTCATTGTCTTCTTCACTTTTATCGGTAGATTGCTTTTACCTTTAGCTTAGAGAATCGTTTCATGGTGACCACTTAAGTTTTCCTTGTGGAAACATCTTTTCATCATATAAAGCTGGAAGGTGTTTGGGAGCGTCGAGATGATGTGTGTGTTGCTTTGATTTTCCAGGGAATCTCACAAAATCTGTCAAAAACAACTTTGTGTCATATTTGACCCCCAAATGAAATTATGCAAAATATGATTTCTTGTTTTTTTATCAAGACAATCAGGCCCTTTCCCACAAATTCTTATTAATATAATATAATATAAATTATGTGCTTATATATATATATATACGCACACATACATACATATAAATCACTTTTAAATAATAAAATCTATATAAAATATTGCAAAATAATAAATTATATTATTTAGAAGTCTTAGTAGTTCATTTACTCACATACATTTTTGCTGATTAATTTTAAAAAAAGCATCAGTTATCAAATATAAAAATCATCTTCAATCAGTCCTGATGTTCCTAAATATAGACTTTTTCTTTATGTAATATATAATTTACTTTTTCTTTTGATTTTGGTGTCCTGGATATGTTTTTGACTGGCTTTGTGAGATTCGCCTTGCTGTAGGATTAGAAGATTAGTTATTTTTACTTTAAAAAAAATATATATAAAATATAATAATAATGGCAGTACATGAGAATTATATCACAACACTAAAAGGCCAGTTTGGATTGGTCTAGATAGATTTTAAGAGGCTTCGAAAACCACTCCATTTCCCAAGCAGAACAGATGCATATGTGTGTTAATGCTCTCGGATATTATGTTTACAATATTTGAATATGTATTGATGCTTTGATTCTAGTTTCACAGCCATTCAAGAAGTCCTAATGTAAAAGATGAAGCCAGCTGCGTTTGAACAAAAAAGACTAGAGAAAATTTGAGCCAGTCTGACACTTGATTCATCGTTATCCATAATGCTAGATAAATGATTATAGATGAAATAAAACTACAGAAGTAGTAAGACTTTTGTTACTCTGCCATTAATATCAGTGTAATTCCAGCATTTTATTTGTTATAGTGAGTAATGAGTTTGTGTGCCAATTTTGTTATTCAGCATTAATGACTGTCATATGGCAATGAAACCTTGTTTTAGACATTCCCTTCTCATTATGATTGGCTTTTCATGCAGACGGTTCATGCAGCGTAACTCCGATTGAACTCGAATGGCTTGGTGTAATTTATTTTTAAAGAACGTTTTGAGCCTTTCTAAACAAGTCTACGAGTTATTAATTTTTCTGTAAAGGGAATATGTACTACATGCAATCCCCGAAGATCATGTTTTGAATTTGATATGAGAAGACTTGTATGATGTATGAAGAATGTATCTCATGCTTTTTATACAATGTGTTAATTGGGTAGAAGAGGGAGTTTTCTTTGCATTAGAATAATTTGAGTTTTGCATTCTGTGCTATTATTACTACTGCAACAGTATTTGGCTGACCTCAACTCTATTTTTAAAACATGCTTATGTAATTTTAGATGATACTTGACTGTAAAGAGGGATGGTTGCTCTTAAATGACCTTCATTAACCTTAGAAGAATAGCATTAGGTAATAAACTATTACATATGCTATTTCTTGGCGGTTCAACCAAGCGTATTCCTGTCCTCAGTCTGATACCATCAACTAAATCTGGAAACCTTTTCCCCACATTCGAGCTTTCTAGTGCTGCAGGTTTCACTGAGCGGGAAAAGGGTCATTAAACGAAACGTCTCAAAGCTTCAAGCTCATTTTAGCAGTGTCTGAACTTGGAAATGTTAGAAACAGGGTTTACAGCCACAAAGCAAAGATTCGGAAATTATGTCTATAATAAATGGTGTAAACAAATATTGTTCTGATACTTTCAAGTGTCATGAAGTTATGTTCTTTCTTATGTAGAGTTCTTTTACATAATAAAGTCATTAGATTTAAAAGCTACTGAAGCCTAAACCTGATCTCTTTAGGTGTTTTTTTAAGAAGTCTCTTATGCTCAGTTTTTTTTTTTTTTTTTTAAATAACTGTTTTCTATGTTAATATATTTTAACATGTAATTTATTCATGTAATGCAAAGATGAATTTTCAGCATCATTACTCCAGTCTTCAGTGTCACATGATCCTTCAGAAATCATTCTAATATGCTGCTTTGCCACTCAAGAAATATTTCATATTATTATCAGTGTTGAAAAAAGTTCAAAATTGAAATATTTTATTGCCAAGAATAACAAACATC